GTGCATCAAATACTCCAACAACAACTATGTGAGTTATACCAGTCTCTATGGCTCTCGAGTGAATTCACATGGACTAAGGCAAATACACTATTACCTATGGGCAATGCCTTTCACAAATCAATTGCTACATATTTATCCTCAAATGAAAAAGCACTAGTAACCTATTAACTCTTCTGTGACCTAGCACTAATTGCCAACTTCACTTTAAGTGGTCTTCAGCAACATCTGTTAACCCCTTATGCTTAATGCCAGCACTGTGCCACAGCCTCATTAACCACCAAACAAGCCAGATGCACATTTTTAGTGAACCCTTTCTATTCAGGCTACTTTTTTTCTGTTTGGATTCTGCATCTTGGGCCCAGACTAAATACACAGTAGTGTCCCAGTCAAAATGGTGAGGCAGGGAAGGGTCAAGGGTTGGTAAGTGCAGACTCATGGAAAAGTTGGGCCGAGTCCTAGGAGCACAGTAACTCCTTTTGTGGGCCTGCAAAGGCAGAGACCCTCGCGTGCGTAGTGCATGCAGCTAGGCCGCAGTCGTGTCAGGCTGCAGGGGGTAAAGAGCAGTCTTGGGAGGGCAGCTTTGGCAGGAGTGGGGAGGGAGAATAGGTGTGTGCAGGGAGAGTCAGGTTCCACATCGCAGATGGAAAAGGACTGTGCCTGTGGGCCAAGGCATTTGTGCAAGAAAGGCCCTCCTGGCACAGTTGTCTTTGCTTCCCAGTGCCCAGAGGCAGATGTGCCCTGTAGAGTCTTCCAATCCCAGAGTCTCGGAGAGCACAGTTCTGCCCCCGCTGCCTGACCCCAAACAAGAATGTTTAAAAAACATTCAGTAAGAAAAAAGCTGCAGGCTAAAGAATGGCTGAACTTTAGCAAAAGTGGCACTGCAGTCTTCAGGCAGCTGGCCAGGAAATGCAAACAGAGTCAAGCCCTCCCTCCTTCCAGGAACGAGATGTTACATGAGAACAACTGGGAAGCTGAATTCCCAGAGATTCCCACTCAGGGCTGTAGCACATGGACCATGAGAAGAAGGGACTCCACGAGCTTCACATGCTCCTCTGAGATGCAGCCTCTCGCAGGGCACAGGGACGTGGGAGAGGGACCATTTCACAGGGTGCGGTTACGTAGGATGCCAGCATTGTAGCTTAGGCAGAGATTACACTGTGGCATTCTTCACACAATAACAACGGTCCTTAAAGGATTCGTAGGTCCAGGCAATCCTGCCGTGCACCTCCTGCCAGATCTTCAGTCTCAGGTGGGAGACCTGCGAGGAGACCGACCTCCTGGGGAGCCGTGCAAGGAGTAAGTGGGTACTGGTGTAACAGCACAGCGACTCCTACGGCCAGGCTGTGTCAGATGAAGGCTGAGGACTTCTCAGAGGGTACTAGCCCTGGCACCCTGGCTGGATTTCAGTGCAGGTAATTAGACTCGGCTTCCCTAAATCCTCCAGCACACAAACAGCAACACTCCCGCTCATTGTCTGGTGTCCAGGTTCGCTCTGCCCTGTCAAGCCACTGACACACCAATACGCTGACAAGATGAAAGTCGGAGTCATGGGCCCATTTGAACATGAAAGCATTATCTTTAGGGACCAGATGCTGCTCTCGAGGGCTCTCTCTCAGCTCTCAGAGTGGCATGGAGGTGGGGGGGCAGAGACCACATAGGGCAGGAATAGTGCTAGGGGCTCCTACAGACCTTGATAGGGTATGTGCTGTAACTGCTGTTTCTTACGCTTTAGTATGGTTCATCACCTTGGGCTCCCTCCACCATCTGTCGATAGCAGTGGTGTCCAACCTTTTTATGCCCAAGATCACTTTTTAAATGTCAGAACAAGTCAAGACCTACCCCGTCCTTCCCCCAAGATGCCACCCTCTCTGTTCTCCTCTCCATCACTTGCTATCCCCAGCCCTTATATCCTCTCAGGGTACGGCTACACTGCTGCTTTTTCCCCCGATTTTTCTGTAGGAAGAGGTTTGTCCAACATGTGGCCTGTCTAGACGAGGCCAAATGCCAGGAAAACCTCCTTTCAGAAGCCCCCTTAATACAGGGGTTGCCAGAAGAGCATGTTTGCTCTTCCTCAGAGCTGGTGTGTGTGTGTGTGTGTGGGGGGGGAGATAGTGCAGTAGTGTTATGAAGCTAAGGCCAGATAGGGGTTGGGGTTTGTTGGCCAGGTTTCATTTTTAAATAAACTATTATGTCAAACACAAAAAGTTTCAGCGTTGTCTTTATTTATGAGAAGGGGAGGGAACCGTCGGGGTCACTGACCCACAGAAAACTCAGTTGGGCCATACAAGTAAGATGAAAAAACAAACAAACCCCACCTCCTCCAAAATCCCCCAAGCCTCACTAATGTGGCCCCAACTGAGCTTGTGGGAGCAGGGGCCATGGTACTGGGGAAGGATGCTAGAGGGAACAGGGTACCAGTGGGTGCTGGGGCAGGGGACAGGGTGTTGGTGGGGGCAGGGGACAGGATGCTGGGGCGGGAATGGGTGCCACTGGGGGGAAGGGACGGGGTGCCAGTGGGTGCTGAAGCAGGGAGCTGGGGCAGGTGACAGGCTGCCGGTGGGTGCTGGGGCAGGGAACAGGGAGTCCCCAGCATGTGCCTCCTCTGGGGACTCCCCCCCCCACTACCCCACAGAAGAGGGAGCGCGCCTCTTCTCAGGACCTAACCCCCCCCCCCCGCCCAA